AATTGATTGAATACCCCTTTTATAGAATCCGTTCAAGATAAGAGCCTTTTCCAATAAACTGAAATGTGATATCTTAAGCTGATGCTCCTGAAGAACACGTTCCTATCATGACTAGCAAAGTCACTTTCATGTAAATGGTTCCAATCAAGAATATTGGTACAGTAATCATCAAAACGTTTACGGAATAATAAAAATCATGGAATTTCGTCATCTTCTAGTCAACTATGTACAGGTTTAAGAAGCACTACATAGAATATAAGGGTTAAAGTAATCTAGGTACCACAATCGCCAAAAACGAAACATTAGGGTGAATGGACTCACCAATTAGAACCAAAATTACTTTAGATATTGTTTTCACGGCACATAAAAGAGATAGAAAAACTGAATGAAAGAGGCTACTTAAGTGTAAATGGTAAGTCAGTGGTATAGACGCAGGCATGAAAATGACGCTGATCACATACAACCAGCTTTAGTTAGACAGTAATATTTTGCAAATAGAGTGGAAGCTGATTATTTATTTTCCTGTTAAATAGTGTGAAAATGCAGATGAAAAGAGGAAATCTAGAAGGTTTATATTTTGAAACAAAATGAAATTCATATCCGCCAAAAAAAATAGAAGGTCAATGCTTGCTTCTTTTTCCCTACACAATTTCCGTTTCATTCTTTAAACAAGAATCATTTTTGAGAACCTGAGTAATTTGACACTGTTCTTCTTATCAGTTCTCTTAAATGAATTCGCTCGCTGTATCCATTAAATATCCAGCGAAATAACTTCTAAGGCTATTTGACAAGCTTTGAAAGTGTTTAAAAACTCCAATCACGAAACGGTTACTTTTGCAGGTAAAAGCTAATCGCCAGATACAGTTTCAAGTAACTTAGAATGAGTAACTTGCTGGAAAGGTTACTATCAGGGCAGTATTTAATCCTTTGTTTATCCTCCTGGTCAGCTTGTCCTCATTGAAGATGTGGTGGATAAATACAGACTTCTCAGGGTCGTTGAGCTCCTTTGTTTCTGTATTTAGCATTCCCATCGTATGTATGAACTTCTTGGGATAAACACTTCGGTTACTTTATCCGATCGTCAGTCTTTTAGCTGTAGCACTTAGTTCTGTAATTAGTTTCGTATTTAAATGATGGAATAGAAACTTCTCCGTCCGCACAACATCACGTTATTTTATTTTCAATGTACACCTATATGCCTGTAAATCAATCAAGTATGTCAATTAAATTATCCCATATGAATTCTGAAATGTTCGTAACCTATAGGCAGCTACAAGGAAGACAACAAAATGCACCGATATCATCATTCTGAGATCCTGTGTATATAAAAAACCTTTCATAAAAACTAACTTCTGTCCTGTAAGCCATAAAAATAGAAGACTTATGACCCACTAGTTATTTTTATTAAAAGAATCTATGAAGCGTGTATCACCCTATCCACAGGTTGTTAGTTGAACGTAATCTCAATTAAGCGTTTAGTTTACGAATACATAAGTGCTGTCCCTTAGGCTACTGATTTGCAGTAGTGACATGTTGTTCGTTGGGTGCAATGGAATCTAAATGTCCTTGTTGCTGAATTCATACAGTTAATGCACTAGTTTTAGATACCTCCTAGTAGCTAACGTTCAGTGATCATTGTACTGACATATCAAAGATTACATCAGGAAATGTATTCTAATCCTTTATTTTACCCCTGTGACGTTGTATTACTGATATAACTACAACGTAGTCAGCTGCATCCAATATGTAGTTTCTTTTAAATAAGATTCAACATGTGATTTTCACTTTTGTCAGCTGTTAAGGTTAATTTAATTTAATTACCCTATGGAGCAATTCAAAGTTGAAGAAACGTGACTATGCAGTTTTAGACAGATTTATACTTTTATTCCAGTTTAGAGACAAAATTAATTACACCCTTGGTAATTCAAAAAACCTTCTATTCACTTAATTTTACAGTGAAATTGAAAATCATTGTCTTGAAACTCGTAAACACAAAGTTTTGTACATTATTACTTCATTTAGGTTTAACAAACATGAAAAGTCATCCCTTTGGTTAAGTGACTAGATGGGATTGAACACTTGAGGGTTTATGCACAACATTTTTATGTTTCTTTATGCAGTTTACTTACTTGCCAGTGTACAACTGTTTTTTAAAACTCTGGTTTTGCACTGTTTATCAATAATAATATTCGACAAAACAATAAGAAGACGTAAATTGTCTGAACCGTGTAATGTATTTGCGGAACACATTTCGAACTATCTGATCACACACGTACTTGTCATAGGTATTTATATAAAAACTCATGAAGATAAGGGGTGAGAAAATAAAAAGGGGTCAGGTAGGAAGGCTGACTTAAAGGCCGAATAACAATGAAAATCAATAGAGCGAAAAAATAATAGTACACCGAACTTGGTTTTTCAATAGTTGAATTTACCAAGGAAGGATTAATGTGACAACAAATTGTTTATGAATACATAAAGGTGGTTTCAACTTCCTAATAGCTAAGGCTTCAACAAATTTCAGGATCACTCCCCAACATGTTTTGTAAATAGGTGTAAAGGAAGTAGCCATATCAATCTTGTGACCTGTCTCAACGATATGTTTAGCGATCGAAGAACTTGGACGTCTGCTACCAACATTTATAGGTTCAGGTGATTTAATTTGCTTCTGAAGCCACTGTGGAATATGTTCCGAGGCCTTTACTTACATGGATCTATTAGTCCTACCTATGTATGTGTCACCACACGTACATTTGAACTGGTAGATACAATGGGATGTGACATTATCGTTCACATGCTGTGGGGGTTTGGGGGAATATAAGGGCTTCGTGGTTTCGATTACTCGAACCCTGGCTGCATAGTAAGTCCTTCTAACAGCAGCGTTAAGTCTCTGCTTAAGGATTGCACTCTGAGAGTCACCTTTGTACGGAAGGCTGATGAAGACATCCTTCTTTGGGACTGACTGCAGTTCTAGTTTTGACGCTCTGCCGATTTTGTTCTGCCTGATAAATGTTGATGGATAGTTATTTTCCAACAAAATATCGGTCAGTGTTCCTCTTTCATCTGCTAAAGTATCCTCGGTGCATATTCGTTGAATTCTGCTGAATAGGCACCTTACTAACGTTCGCTTGTACTGAACTGGGCAAAAGCTATGGTAATTCAGATATTGCCCTATCCATGTATGTTTTCTGTAGATAGATCGTTTTATGGATCCATCCTGCCTTCGACTAATTAATATATCTAGGAACGGCAAGCAGTCATCTTCCTCTCTTACACATGTCAAAGATATGCTGTTCTGTACTTCGTTCAGTAATAATATATCAAATAATCCAAATTTTAATTGTCACCTATTTTGAATAGTCAAACTTTTCACTACACTCTCTATTGAATTCAACTTGTATTTGCACTAATAATCTCTCATGTTCTGTAAATCTAACAATGACGTTTATTTAAAAATAACTGCTAGTTAATTATATGTGTTGGTTACAGATTAGTTTGTTTAAGTCGAACTCTAACAGACTACTGTTCTTCCTAGGGCCAGATTCTTCACTGAAGATAAACATTTTTTGTATTCAGTACTTACTCTCTTCTGATCTACTAAAATGTAAGTCAGTGTGCATTTTCCAAAAATCTGTTTGAGATTTTTAGCATGAACCGTAATTTCTCGAAACAATACCCTACTGATGCTGAGTTAAGACGAAATTACTGAAAAGTATTAGCTTTTTTATAACTTCTCTTCTACAGATTTCCTTTATGGTCCATAATAATATAACTATAACAGATTCAATTTGAGTAAAGGCTACCCACTATTGTTATTGTTCAAGAGTCTAAGATATTGCACTGCAGAAACAGTAGGAATTTAAGGAGGGAATAATACGCGAGAGATAGTAGGAAGTACTCTGAAAAGCTATTCATTTGTACAATACAGTATTTTGACTTGTATTTACAGTATAACAGATTGTTTAAAATGAATTCCACTTCATTGATGTTTAATGTCAGACTGAATCAAATATTTAGAAGCAAACAAAGTGAAGCCAGTTACTTTGTAGCTAAGATCATAAGCCATTCAATGCTATTTACTCGTTCCACAAATGGTGACTTTTGTGCCTTGACAGCCTAGTGGGTAACCCTTTGGCGTTTGAAGTGATGCATACTGGGCTCAAGTCTCAGTGGGAACAATATCCCTCACTATGGTGCAAGCATATCCATCCGACAAGTACCAATTAGGACGAAACATGCGTCCACTGCTATCCACTATCAAGTAAAGCATAGCAAAGGTTCACAGTGTGATGACTTAATAGTATAAAATATTTTCCTTCGTAGTTTCAGATTGTTAGAAGGGATGCTTCCAATTATTCTAACGAGAAAGTATAGCAGTTGTACGCATTTAATTCAAAGTAAATTAGTTTTATCCACTTTGTCGTAAGAACCGAGAAGCACGCATGATAAATCTGTTAAACATATCATAAACCATCCAATTTATTTCTTTTGCATAAATTATTTTATCAAATGCGCTAAAATGAGTTAATCACTGAGATGGTCCATCTCAAGATGATCTAAAACACGTGAATGATATTGAAACATTTAACCATTTTCGCTGTTCACGTGTTGTACATTTAATGTACTGCATCCTGTATTTTGTAATAATGAATTTATTGTATCAGTCAAATAATGATAACATTACTCATGACCATAGTGATAATAATAATATTTAGAGTTCACGATGAAATAAACGCACAAAATATAACAACCTGTTAGGGAATTAATCCTTATAATAAGCAAATCACAACTTTTGCTTGGAATAAATAATTATCTGTGTATTAAAATATATTTTTTTTTTATACCTTGACAAATCAGTAGTATGTCCCAATACCGTTGGATTATTCGCAAAACAATATATGTGGATTCATATATATATATATATATATATATATATATATATATATATATATATATATATATATATATATATATAAACTTGCACATGATTAATGTATGTTATTCACCATTGAAACGCATTTGCAAGTTATACAATATGGCCTTTGAAAAAGCTGTTATCAAAGATGCTGATATGGATGTTCGTATGCAAGAAGAGGCTATCAGTGTAGCTGTTACTGGAATGGAACGACATGAAGTTGACAAGGATGTTGCATCACATTTGAAACAGTATTTTAATATACACTATGGACGTACATGGCATTGCATAGTTGGAAAACAATTTGGAAGGTAAGTTAAATAAAGCTTTTTTTTAAAATAATTTAATCGACAGTAAAGTAAATTAGCTCAGGTTATGATAGCTTTATGTTGAGGTGTATCTTCTTCAGTTTTCCACTAGTCAACTGGATAGATTTGTACTCATACATCGAAAAATTATACTCTAAACCACTTGGTTATGATAATTACATATGCCTTATCTTTAATAAATCTTATCGTTATGAACATCTACAGAGTTTACAAACCACATAGATGATATGTCAGAAGTGTTCGAATCGAAAGTTCACTTTATAATGTTAATCAGTCACTTTGACAATCACAAAATTAGAAAGACCAGTGACATCTCTTTTAACAGTTTCATTTCTAATAAATAGTTTAAAAACTCGTTTAAAAACTGATGACAATGAATTATTCATTTCAATTTGAAACAGATTCTATAACGTTGGTATTGCACACCCTGGAACATTTTATATTTGTTGAAGTTTGTTATGGATATCGTTGGGATGAGATGTATGTTCAGCAGTTACATTGTCTTGTGATAAGATAGATTTGTTGGACCTAGAGTTTATGGCTAACTCTCAGAACAATTTACTTCTGACAATCATAACATAGAAAGAAAGAAGGCAGTGATAGCAGTGCAATGTTTTGATTTCAGGCACTTTGGGGGACAAATGAGGAGGGTAAACTTGAACAAGTTTATTAAAAATTATTCATCATTTAGTAAAAGCTATTGCTGAGTACAAAGCTTACAAAAGATAGAAATTCATAACCAAGTTTACTGGACACTACAGATTCAAGAGTTAAATACGAGGTCACATTTTGCTTGATAGTTTAAATATTCTGTTATCTATCCTGACAATATGATTCGGCATATATTTACATTCATTCTCGAGAATGTATGAAAATAACTATTCAATAAGTCTAAGCATTACATAGTTATTCATGTGATTGACGTAAATCAGTCGTCTTATGATAACGTGTGTGACTGTCTGAAACTAATTGATGACCACAATCTAACAACTGAGTATGAAATGCAATCAGTAAGCTCAGTCACAGGACTTATGTTCTTATTTGACTAAAAAATATGTTGAATGAACAGAAGTTTTTATTATGATTATTTATTTCTCCATTGGGTTCCTAGTGGAACATAGGGCTTCAGTAGTACATCTCCATTTCACTCTCTTCTCTGCAGTCTTTTGAACCTGGCTCCACGACTGCCCAGAAGCTTTCATTTCTTCCTTACATGATCTCCTCTGTGTCATCCTCGGACGCCCAACTCTTCGTTATTTGTAGGCAAGTAGCGTATGATTGTGACTTTCCTTTCTTTTGAGTTGAACCTTGCCGTCATGACCCAGCAGGAGGAGATTGGTTCCCGCTGCATGAGGGAGAGCCTTTGATGCTCTTGGGGACATTATGATAACCGCTCCCTCAGTGTGTTTGTGGTTGTCACCTCGGTGACAGTATCGGAGTAGATTATTGACTGTCCAGTTGACAGTTAACAGAGTCCACTTCCATTCCATCTGCTTCCGCAGATTTCTAGCACTTCTATGCCATACCTTCTCATCTTTTTGGTGATCTGGGTAGCCTTGCTAGGTCCAAACATTGTTCGGACATTCTATGTCCCATTCTTACTTTCACTTTCATCCAGAGTAGAGAAGACACATCGGCCGATTGGCTTCCCTAAGGCAGGCTTTCGTCAACTGGCGTCATTTCGCCTCTCCGATTCCAGCGAGGAATAAGTTTGTTTTTACTTTATGTATTTTCTTTGTGTTTTGAAGTTTCTTTAGCGGTTAGATTGGCTTTCCCTTCCCTCTTTATCTGGGCTTTGGACCAGCTAGTAACTAGTGAACTAGTTACCTAGGCGACTTTGAAGTGAAGTTTACTATCCATTTATCCAAGCACAGAACAAGTCTAACTTGTGTACGCTGTTACATGAAGATACCTGGCAGAGAACTTCACTGGGAGCTTTTGTATATCGTTGAATGATTGACCAATCAATTAATAAAAGATACATTTAGCCATTGTCCAAACGAAATTTTGATTTTAATAGACATCTAAGTTACGAGTTCACTTAAAGTTGCAATCAGTCTTCCTAAAAGAAGTACCTCTGTCGTTTGATAAATCCAGTTTACTGTTAACGTCTACATGATGTGTATGTTATTAAGTCATAACCGTTTCAATGATACCTTTTCTAGGTTCTTGCAATTGCAAATTCCCTTAGTCCATAAAAAATTTTGCCATATGCAGTTCTGTTGATTAGTGCACGCAAAAAGTCACATTCTCCTAATTGCTTGTTTCCTAAGAAATATCCGGGTTTCCGGTTTTCATCTTATCAACTGGAGGTTAATATCCAGCAGTGATATATATATATATATATATATATATATATATATATAAGAAGTAAAATTTTGAACTTTTACGCCAACCAAGTGAATAGCCATGACGATAAACAGCAAAGGTATTAAAAGATGGCTGTTATCCACTACCAACTGACTGGTCTCCAAAATCGCTAGCAACATACTGTAATCCATTGATGGATAGCTAACGTATTCATCATAATGGTCGAAAATTCACATTTTAACCTCATATGAGGTCAAGGGTGTAAATCTTCAGAAGGGTATATTGATTTTAGTGACCTGCAGAGGAATCCAGGACGCGCACTTAGTTTTATTCGGGATTCGTCAACTGGATGTACCTGCGCCCCAAAGAGAATTGTTCTTCCAATCGAGGTAGAACTTAGCAGCGCGAAAACCTCAGTGTCATTAAAATCTTCGGAAAGTTTTTATTCTAGTGAGAAGTAGGTGTTCAGTGTTCAGCAGTTTCAAAAGATTCTCCGTTAAAAAATCTTGGGAGCTGGGATATTAACAATTGCTTTCTATTACTTTCAGCTGTGTATTCAAAAGATATAGGATATGAGGATTTGATGAAATAAATTATGTTTAAGGCCAAACTCCAGTCATCTTCTATGAGAACCCAGTTCCAATAAAGCTGATTACTATCCATAAACTTTATCTTCCTAACAAGAAACCCTGTTACCACTGGTGACGAAAGCTTTATTAAAATAAAAAGGTGTCCTAATCAAAAGGTTCGTAATTACTGCCAGAAGAATTAACATTCGTGACTGATTGATTCATAAGCCTTACAAGCGGCAATTGTTTTAAAAACTCAAATTTCGACTTCATTGTCCAAATATTTTTGTTTGATATTTTGTAATATAAGCCCGAGTTATATAGTTGGATGTGAAATCTGATACCAAAAGGTTACATTTTCAAATCGTAACAATTATTGGTGGTAGACAAATTGTTTAACTAGAAGCAAAACTGGTTCAACTAAGTGTGCTCAAAAACCTTGAGCAGTTTTGTATAAGATTTATTTGAAGAATCATTCTGATTCGTGATTTTGCGTAAAATAGTAATCTCAGAATGTAGAAAATACTTCTTATATAAGAGTGAGGATAAATCTCTACAGTAGGTGAGGGAAATGTTTCCAGAGTTCACATCAACGTCTTGTTTACTGGACCAAACTTATGTGCATATTTTACTTCATCTAAATGTGTCTCTACCTTTTACTCGTGAAGTCAACTAGAGGTTTAACAAGTCTTTTTCATTCCACTACCCTACTTCAGTACTATTTGTATGAACATAAATAGTTGAAGCCAAAAAGTGGCGCCTTTGAATGACGCCTCACAAACTTACCTCATTCTCACTAATTATTCTGTGCCTATTAAGTATGGTTAAATATTTTAGTGGCAAAAAGAGCTCTTTTTTCTTAACAAATAAAGTTGGTTCTATTCAGTATTTTATTTGCTCAAATTATTTTCTTTTAAAGTGACCCTTATCAGATGACTAGAACGTACACAACAATAATTATTACGCCTTGATGTGACTTTAAAGGACACTCTCACCCAACTGGTGAGATAGGCAATTACATTTCTCTACTTCACGAAAGCTACCATGTCAGCCAAAAAGCCAAAGCCTGATTGGTTATCTCAGCAGTTGTTAGAGCGGTATTCAAAGTCGCTCTACACATTTACTTTCTCATTCATATAAAATCCAATTAGCATGATAATTTTGCATCTTCTCGTTAAAAGAACATCAACCGATTTCAATAGTTTTTCAAAGCTTCTGTCAGTATGAATGTCACAGTATGTTAAGCCACCTGAAAAAAGTCTAAGGTTTTCGTTCACTTGTATGTAAAACAGTAGAACTATTAAAAAAATCAACAACAGTTTGGGATGTGGTGATAAATGTCGCAGCGAAATAGTTCATTGTTCCCAACCAAATAAAACAAAAGAAGTGGCCTTAAGTCACTGACGTTCTGTATAACTGGATTACATATATTGATTGGCTACTGGAGAGGTGCCTAAGTAGCTCACTTGAAGGTGGCTGACTGAAACACTGGGTGATGCGAGTCCGGACCTCACAGGGGACATCAGTCCTCTCAAGGTTGCAGATACGCCTTGCTGTCGAACTCTAAAAAGCACGAAAACTAGGTCCAGGACTTCCTGCCGACTGCCTTCAGCCAACTAGTATCGGCTATAGGTGTTCAATATTAAACCGCTAAAACTTCAGCGGATTATAGGCAACAGTAACTATGAATAGGATAATGAAGTAGTGTTCAGATGTTTTGAAGTGATCGGAAGTAAATCTTGAACTTGAATTTCATGCTTTCAGTCGCTGATCACGAAGCCAATCTTTCTTTCCTTGGGAAGTATTTGTTTACTCCCGAGTTTTCCTACAAGTTGCTTAACAAATCAGTTAAGTATTCCCAATAAAAGATGCTTCAAAGTGGATAGGTAGAACAATTTACTAGTAAAGGAGTATTATGACTATGTAATGTACAACTCTAGAAGTCATTAAGGCTAAAGCAACGAAGTCATGCACTTCAAATCTCTCGAAAAAATGAACTTGTACCGGATCCAGATCAGCAGCATAGACTGTCTTTAAGACACTGGTCAACTGGCGATGTTGAGTCTTCCAGCTTGGCAACTACATTGGAAAATGATGATTTGGTGAGCACTTAGGATTGGAAAACATGAAACTGTTTACTCTCCAATGAAAAACCTCTATATGAATGACAGCTACTTAGGGAGGAGAAACTGAAATCTTACCAGGTAATTGACATCACTATACTCCAACAGTCTTCCTGCTTTCTTTCCGATATATACTACTGAGACTTCTCCAACTGATAGCTTAGTGACTAGTAAGTTAAAAGTAGTGTTTCTTCAGGTGGAACATGTTTAATTTCTCCTATAGGAGGTGACAGGATGAATTAACTGCTATCTGAACAGCCTAACTACAAGAATGACTTTCAACGGATTAGCAGCTCATCGAATACTCGACAGAGGAACTCAATTTCAGGCTCACGATTACTTCAAATAAGAATTAAATACAAATTTGTGTTGAAGAGGAAAAACATAATTAAAGTGAGGTGCCATGTCTTCAGTTAAATCTAATTAGCAATCTAAGTTCCCCATAGAAGAAGTTCGAATTGCCTTCTATATTCATTGATGTAGCATTGTGAGGCAGTACACTAATTTTCAAGTGTCACCAATGAACACCAAGAGGTAAATACAAAATCTATGCTCAAAATCTTATACGATTACTTCTGTGTACAATTCAATCCTTTTGATTGTTGCTATCTGTCACATGAAAATGTTATTTATTACCGAAAAAGGGCAAAATATGAAGGATTTTGGTAGTATATTTAAGTACATTCAAATATTACTTATCTTAATGCAAAATCACAACCCCACATTTATAGTTTGAATTTTCTAGCGATGAATATTCTGAAAATCTTTTTGAAATGCATTACTTGGGAAGTTAATAGAGACAAATTTGGGAACAAATGTCGACAAATGGCATTAAATGAATGATGGCATAGTATTTAAAGTTGACACGGTTCTAAAAGCATGAATCCAAGGTTTTCAGCTTAGTGGCTAGATGTTGGTGTGCTCATTATGATACCTAAGCATCATGAGCCCGGCTCCCTGCATAGTCATTGGTCAGCATGGCAGAGGAGTCTCTAATTAGAATAGAATGGTTTTACCGAGTTCCTAATGATTCTTCTTGTGATAACAACACGTGAATAAGGCCATTTAGAAAATCCTGTGTTTGAATGCTATATAAATGGTTCCTTCCTTTTGCTTTCTGATGTCCATCATTTACAGTGATATCAATCAGTACACGTTTAAAGGCGGATTACGTGCCTAACCTTGTCCTGGGGGGGTTGTTGGGATTTATCGGTTTCAAGTTGGTATTCATCGTGGACTGACATCACTTGCAGAAACATTGGACACCCAGGAGCACTGGACAGTTATTTCGTCGCACTACGAGACTCCTTAGCAGTGCTCACTCATAACGCCGCCAGGGATAGTTATACTCAGTACTTCATCAGTATAGTGATATTTCTCATGAAGTGTTAGAGCAAAGGGCTTACTAAAAGACTGGAAATATTAATCAAATAACTGCCAATGCCTTTTAGGCTTTTGATGAATTATGTCTTTATTCATTCTCTAGGAATTCTCATGCTTTAGACCTTAGGGATACCTCATCGTTATTTATCCTACTACGTCAATCGAAATTTCGAAAGACACTTCTCTTTAGCACAGCTTTCTCAGTGTAAGCAATATTAACCATTTCTAAATCAGCTTGTTCTGTAAAAACAAAAAGACACACATGCTAACAAAGCAAACAACTCGTTTAGTACTGCTCAGGGAGTTCCCTATGAGGCTGAGAATGATGCAAGACTACAAATTATCAATGCGCGTTGTTGGAGACACGGTTATCAGCAACTTGTCTATCCTATCAGGTTTATCACAGACTAGGAAATGCTTTAAATGGTTTAATCAGATAAACACACATAACAGGACTGGAAATATAGAAATTTAGTTTAGCGAAATGCGACCAACTCAAATTTAGAAGAACCTAAGTTAGCAACTCATAAACATCTGTACTTCAACAACTTGTCATTCATTATGACAACGTTATCGTTTATAATTTTCTGGTTGAAACAACAAGTCAGTTCAAAAGTTTTCAATAAATCAAAACAACTAATTTTCACCAGAAAACTTTTCCAAACTCCGCATACGAGTTGAGCGTTTTCATAACTAAAAAGTCAAACTTGCGACAATAGATATTCTTACTACTTCCGAAAACCCATGCTCACTATTCCACACCTATAATCTAATTGGACACGTTCCTATAATCCTTTAAATATTTCATCAATATAAGCCCACAGAAACTACAAGATAATTATTTCGTGACTGTAGACCGTTGCATGCAAAAATGTTATTGACATATTGGCGTGTGTAAGGTTCTATTCATGTACCAAATTACTCAGCTATTTGTTCACCCGGCTGAAAAAGTTCTTTGTTTACTTTGCAAGATCCAAGAGCAAAATACACATCAAAACTTAGCTACAGATTTTCATCGCGTATATGTTTGATGGTCAACTGTTCAATGAAGCTACAAGATAGTTAGATGATTACTGATGGATGGGAAGTTAATTATATTAGTCTGTTCCAGTTAACGGTAACCGTAAACATGTACTAGCCTATTACGTGTTATTTGAAAAACTTGGCAAATCCTTTCTAGGCGTATTTATCATCTCTTTAACTCTGTTTATAGTGCTTTGTAATAGTGACTGTATTTATGACAACACGCTGCCAGTGACCTTGAGCTTTTGCTTTTTTATATATGTTGAGAAATTTGTTTGAAAAAGGATGTCTGATTTTGCCAGATATTTTTCAGGCTCATGAATACCTTTGTTAACTGACACTTCAAAGTCATCCAAAGAATTCTGAAATAGATTTTACCGATTTAATAAAACAAACTAATAAAGGTTCAAATATCGCAATTAATTTTTCTTTTAATAAGTTTTTATGTTGTGTTTTAAAAATTATGATATCTTCATACTACTTGAAATAACAAGGTTTTCATCGATCAAGATAAATCAAACTTCTGTTTTAATGATTTAAAATTACTTGAAGTCTGCATGGAGGGTAATTTAAATTCATTTACATATCAGTAACCTATTAAAAGCTTTCTGTTAATTTAAAAACTACCAGCTAATTCTTGTTTCGACATATTTTCTATTACAGCGACATTTCTTATGAAGAAGGCAGCTTTTTATACTTCTTCCTTGGTGACAGATCGCTTCTGCTTTTCAAGTCAGGTTAACACGAACAACCAAGAATCATTATTATCACTAGTCAATATTCGTGTTAAAATATTATTACTCAGAATAGAAGAATATTTGCAAATCAGTTGATCTTTTCAATAAGTTTTTAAAAGTGTTAACTTATAGAAATTTATATTGAGTTTAGCTTCTTTGTGATTGTTTCTTCGGAAAAATGATTTTACAAAGCTGTAAGACAAGCTTCAGAATAACCACGACCACCAAGACTGAACATTCTAGTAGACATTTATTCCTCTGTTAGTAGCAGTAAGTGCTTCAGTCAAATCTCAGTGGAGAAATCAACACTGTGGAATGCATTATACATTCTAAAATTAGACAGCATGTGTATGCCACCAAGAATGAGACTTGTGTAATTATTTCTGATGATAAGTTCAGCCTTTCATTCATCATTTCCGCCGTATTCCTAAGAAGTAGCTGTTATGTTGGATATTTAATCGGCATTTGAATAATATGCATATATATATTGACTTGTAATAAAATAAAATCCTCACGAATTAATCGGTGTATAAAGCTAAAGTTTTGTTAGTTTCTGTGAGCCATTTGCTTCACGCTCCTATGGCCTCCCCAAAATTCAATAACCCAATTTTCCGATCCGTCCAATTATGGATTTTACGAATTCTCCAACGTATAACCTTCCAAAGTACCTCACAAAAGTCCTTAAACCATTACAAGACAACTTGGTAAGTATCATTAAAAATTCATTAGACTTCAAACATAAATTATTACAAACAGTGATTGGAGATGATGAAACAATGATTAGCTTTGACGTTTTTCTCTACATACAGATATTCCGATTGATGAAAGCATACAAGTTGTTAGATTTTTATTAGAGTCGGATGCTTCTTTATCTCTTAGATTCAATATTTGCATCACTGAAATCTATGACGCACTGAGATTATGTCTGACCTCAACCTTTTTTTACTTTTCGAGGAAACCTTTATCGTCAAACCAGTGGGTAGTAATGGGTTTATTTGTCTCACCCATTGTAGCTAATCTCTACATCCACAAAGTAGAATCAGACATACTTAGCCAACATAATTTAAAACCAAGAATATGGTGAGGGTTTGTTGATGACACCTTCGTCATAACCAAAAAGCAAGGACTAGAAAATCTTTTTGAATACCTTAAAAGCCGTTTCAATTCTATAAAATTCACATATGAACTAGAAACAAAGTTCAGGACGCTAGCTTTTCTAGACTGTAAGGCGGTACGAAACAATGATGGGACACTTGACATTGATGTCTATCAAAAAGATACACATTCTAACAAGTACCTTGACATCGATCCGGCTCATCCATTGGAAACTAAGTTAAACGTTACCAAAAATCTGTTGATGAGATCACAAAGTAGAATCTCAGCAACCAGATAAGCAACTTGTTCCAGAAGTCTTAAAACAAAATAACTATTCAGAAAAACTATTAAAAAGGATCGAAAATAGTTTATCGAATAAAGATACGAAACAGGCAAGCCATAAAGATTGGATAAGTACTATAGTACTTCCTTACCGAACATCCACTTCAGAGGAAATAAGGTGTATCCTTAATGGTTACAACACCAAAGTGTTCTTTAAGATGACGAATACATCACACTCACACCTGTGTAAATTAAAAGATCCTATTCCTCGTTTGGAACAACAGAACTGTGTTTGTAAGGTAGACTGTAGCGAATGTGATGCCACATACATTGAACAGACATCACGTCAAGTACTAACACGTCTAGCCGAACACTGTCAAAGTTCCAAAAAACTCATATGATCTAGAAAAATTTGAAAAAAGCTCTGCCATCATGGTCCATGCCCTGCATTCAGGTCATAAAATATCATTCGAACAGACGAAAGTCCTGCAAAAGGGTTTTCTTTCTCACAAAGAGCGGACCATTGAAGAAGCTTTGCACATCTGTTCGTATCCTTCTTCGGTCAACAGAAAAAATGGGTTAGACATCCCACTAATGTTGCAAACATTAATAACTTGCGTAGGCAGTTGTAAATAATATATGAAGAGAAGGTAGAACACAGTTTCATTCCACATGATTTATTCCGAAGTTACTCTTGCTTGAATAGTTTCCGGTGTCACTTCGCTGAATCGTCTTAACCACGTCAAAAAATATTGGCCGTATTTTAACAACCTGTCTATTCCTACTACATAACACTCTATTGATCTACGATTTTCATCAATTTTACGCTCCTTTCTGACTTATATACATTCTATGGTCCGTTCTATAAATAACATAATCCATTTTTGTTATTACTCATACTTCAAGTGTTATCAAAAGTACATTTATCGTTATCATTATTATTACTTATTTATCATATATTGCTTGATGTTCACCCCTAAGGTCTCATAACCCCATTGTACTTTTCATAGATGAACTAAAATGTTTCCTCACGATATTTTTGTTCCACCTTACTCGCACAACTGAAAAAGCTTGTGACCGATTTGCTCATTCACTCACTTGTATTACATCGATCTTTGCTCCATATCACGATGTAACTGGATGATTGTACCAAAACTTGAATATTAACCTGAAAACTTAATGTTAGACACAGACTCTTGAAAAGGATCTTCCTAGCAAGATCGAAACATTGAGGAATAATACAAAATATTTGTTTATTTTGTTATTTTTTCTAATATACTACACCGGGATTACACAAGTAAAAATACAACTTATACAATGAATCATACTAACTCGGTGCCCAAGTTTTTTCAAACCATCCAGTCTATTGTTGGTTAGGATACCTTCAGAATTAAAATCACTGTAAAATTAGAATGCAGATTGAAGTTAAACTGTCTTAATAGTGGTACTGGTCTCTAAATTCTTGTTTCATCATATTAGCCTTCAAAATGACCTCTTTAGATTGAATTATAGTCAGTCTTTTCAAAATTGCGGCTAGTAGGATCGAATGAAAACGGAAAGGCTATAATTTAACCATCATTTGTTACTAATGACAAAAAATAAAGGAAATAAACAAGGAAATAAGTTCTAAAAGACTACCTTATGATATAGCTCAAGAAGTCTAACTGTCAAGAACTTGGTAAACTGTCAGATAAGTTACTTTTTTATGAAAATGATATAATTTGCAATCATAAATGCATAACGACTAGTGCTTAAAAAGTCTATATGAATAGTCGACAGAAAATATCTCCACAAATTCATCATCATTCAACCTTTTAAGGAGGTAATTTTTGATGAGAACCGAAGTTGTATCTAGGGCTGATGGACATTTAGGAGTTCCAGAAAGCATTATAACTAAACAGATTACTATAGAAAAAGATGTATGAATGTGTTCAATATACATGTATGCATGAATTAGAACACATGGAAGATGGTGGTAGACGCGAAAAAATGAGAGTTGATTTTGAGTAATTAGAATGAAGAAACAGTTTATAATCTCGTACTGAGTGATCCTATGAAAATACTTCATTGTTCTAAAAGATCTTTTCATAAAAGATTCAATACGTCAATTAAAATAGGAAATAATACTACATTTCATGAATGCATATACCATATTGGTTACTTGTTATGTGTTGTTTACTTGTTCATGTATGATCAATAAAACTTTGTCGCCTTACAGTTTATTCGAAACAGGAATTTCAGTTCGATTTTATCATCAGAAAGGCTACTGGCATTATAAACTTATTCAATGTTCTTTCATCCACCTGAAAATCTGATTACAACTTAACGACATACACCGTTCGGTTCTTAGTATGTGAACATCTTAACACTACGCCTGGCTCTAAGAGAAATCGAATGTTACTTCATTCTGAAGTTAGTGCTGATGATGTCGTCTAGCAAGACGATGAAAGCGCCACTATTAAACAACCAAGCTCAGAGAACACAAACAACCAACACCATCCACCTGAGCTACAAATATTCTCCATTATTTCAAAATCATACAAACGTGACACGCTTCACGTTGTTCGAAGATAAGAGGACTTCCCCAAAAGGCAAGCTTCCACAAAAGAACAACTATTCTTTCTGCATGAGTGCCTATATCAGAATGTTAAGATCATCAAGATAAATTACAACACAATGACAACTACTGACATTCTCAAATATTGTGTGAAATATACGCATCGGGATATGAAAGAAGAACAAGTATTTCAGCGGAGGGTCTCTTTATGGCGACTTCACTATCAAAGCTGTACAATCGCAAATTTATACATTTTTCTAGTTTAAGGATTTGATAGTTAAAAACGGTTTGTCAAGTATAGCAACACAAGTAGTGTCAATAAATAAGCTGTCATTAAAATAAAAAAAAACAACCAAAAACTGATCAGTAGTGAATATTAATCAAAATAAGTTTGGACAAGGTTTCGTAACATGGCGACATAACTGGAAACTGAATTATGATCAGGTAAAGGATAGCGACAAGAATGAGTAGCAAATTACTTAAGGACTGAATAGTGTCAAAGCAGTAAAATGAAAAGAATAGGTGTTGGGGGGTGGGGTGGGGGTAGAGGAGACTTCAAAGACTAAAAACTAAGATCCTGAAAGGAGAAGGGGTTGAACCATCTTCTTTTGTGTACACAATTCAGGTTTCTCCATATGGATGGCAATAGCTTTGGCGATGCAGAGAATAAGAAGACATAGAGCCTTTGGAAAGTTTCTTTTTACCTAATCGATGACTTTGAACTAGGAAGTTCTTGAGATAGTGTGATTCGTGTTCATGATATGTACAATTACAGCGCTCCTTATCGCTCTACTGTTACCTCTTTGGTTCAACCCCTTCTCCTTTCAGGATCTTAGTTTTTAGTCTTTGAAATCTCCTCTACCCCCACCCCACCCCCCAACACCTATTCTTTTCATTTTACTGCTTCGACACTATTCACTCCTTAAGTAATTTGTTACTCATTCTTGTCGCTATCCTTTACCTGATCATAATTCAGTTTCCAGTTATGTCGTCATGCTTGGCAACCTGTTTTAACTATCAAATCCTTAAACTAGAAAAATGTATAAATTTGCAACTGTATAGCTTTGAAAATGAAATCACCCTAA